GTGTGTGTTACGTTTTTATTGTGTGGCTTCTGTGAACGTGTCACAGCATGTTGCGTCACGAATTGCGCTGCAAAACAACACCATGGAAGGAGTCACACCGTATCCTTGGGGTTCATGCAACGCAAGATGATGGACGAAGGATAAAAAGACAATACCAAGGTTCCACCACCATTCCACATCCAACATGCACAGGTGTTCAGGTTACGAAAACAGCACACAAACCATGATATTACCGACCTTTACACAAAACAGCACTTACGTGGGCAGGCAAACAACACTCAGCAAGAAAAGGACAACAGCCCGGCAACAAGACACCAAGGCAGACAAAAGAACAAACAGCAAAAAAAAACAAAGCGAAAAAATCAAAACATAATAGATTGTTTCGTCGGAGTTGCACTGACTCATCAGAGGCTGAACCCTCGACAATCTGCGAAATCCCCGTATTTGATGGTTTGGGTCATGAACCCTTTGACCCATGTTGAAGGCAGACTGTCCCCAAGATGAACATAGCAGCGGGCAGCAACCCTGTGAAGCACCAGGCAACACAGTAGAGGCAACACGGCTGCACAACGTCAAAAACGACTGCAAGGAACGACATGGCACGCAGCGCGGCAGCCGTGTAGTGAAGCAGAAGGCAACACAAGCAAGGCAACAGCACTGCAAGGGACGACAAGGCGAGTGAACCAGCAGCTGGGCAACCGTGGAGCGGAGCACAAGGCACCAGCAACAAGGCAACCAACCTACAGGGAACACAAGCGGCAAGCACGGAAGGCACAACCAACGGATGAGCAGCACGGCAGGAGCAGCGAAGCGCAAGGCAACACCAACAACACGGCCACACCGCACACCGAACACATCAACCAGGAAAGAACCACACGCTAAGCAAGCGAGACAGGCAGCAGGGCAGCGGCGGAGTGCAGACGAGGACGTCCACACATCCAACACGGAGCAAAGCAGCACATGACCTACTCACATCACGATAGAACCCCGCAGACTGTTGGTTCCCACCACCCACTGAGCCAGGGTGTCACTCCGACGAACATCCGTCATCACCGACAGGCAACACAGACATCCCGAACCGAGCAGCCCCCATAAGAGTGCMGTAGRCACTCCAAACGAGGAACCACYGACTGTTTGRCACTACTTAAGGGTGCTCAGTTGGGCACACAAAAAGACTTAGAAAAAATCAAGGGGAGGACATACAACAGAAGAAGGACCAACAGACATAAAACTGATTGTGTGTGTGTGTGTGTGTGTGTGTGTGTGTGTGTGTGTGTGTGTGAGTGTTTGAGTGTGTGTGCGCACATATGTATGTGTTTATTACTGTTAAAAGTTTAAACCAAAAATACACTGCCCCAGCCTTGCAGAAAGTTTTTGTCACCAGAAGCAAAACTCGGAGGGGCCGCGTGGTGTGGGGCGCTGTTGAAAAAAAAAATTGGCAGCCTCCAAAGTGGTGCGGGTTTCATGCTGACACCCGCTGGCCGATGTGTGGTGTACTGGTCCTTTAATACTGTGTATGTGTCCATGTTTGTGTGTGTTTTCACAATACCCAGGGCATGATATGTCATTACCTCCACAAAAGGATGTGTGGTTGTTTCAGATCCAGTCATAAGCAATCCAACGTTGCATGCTCCTGTGCGCGCACAGGTGGGAGACAAACAAAAACAAACAGTACGATAGGATACATTCAAGAGTAGCGATAGACTGTTCCGTTGGACTTGCGCCAACTCGCCAGGAGGCTGAACCCTCTGCAGGATCCTCCACCGACTCATCAGGCACCTGAACCCTTGACAGTCTGGAGGATTCCCTCCCAATGCTTAGCCAACAGTCACTTCAAACCGTGTTGCAAATGGGCAAAAAAAACACAGCAAAGCATGCATTGCATCATGGACAAATCAACTTGTGGGACAGCGTAGTGGACGCACAAGAAGGCAAGCGGATGGGCAGGCGGGCAAGAGGATCGGCATGAAGTGACACAGCAAGGCACTCTGCAGTGTCTGCACAGTAGCACTAGGCAGTACATAGCAAGGCAAGCAGGGGGAACAGGTGGGTTGGCAGGACACCAACACAGTGAGTCGGTCTCGCAGCGACGCAGGAGCCCATGGACGCAGCAACAAACAAACTGCACTACCACAATACCACCTGCTCACATCATATTAGACTAGGACGCGGGGATCCCCGGGGCCCAAGCCGGGGTAGGGGTTTCACCCCCGGACCCCCGCCGCGGGGCTACCCGACCCCC